GACAGGGGGAATATGGGTAGGAGTTATTGGCAGGGAGGATATAGGAAAGAGTTATTGGCAGGGGGAATATGGAGAGGAGTTATTGGCAGGGGGAATATGGAGAGGAGTTATTGGCAGGGAGGATATAGGAAGGAGTTATTGGCAGGGGGATATAGGAAGGAGGTATTGACAGGGGGAATATGGGTAGGAGTTATTGGCAGGGAGGATATAGGAAAGAGTTATTGGAAGGGGGAATATGGAGAGGAGTTATTGGCAGGGAGAATATTGGAAGGAGTTATTGGCAGGGGGAATATGGGAAGGAGTTATTGACAGGGGGAATATGGGAAGGAGTTATTGGCAGGGGGGGATATGGGGAGGAGTTATTGGCAGGGGGAATATGGAGAGGAGTTATTGGCAGGGAGGATATAGGAAGGAGTTATTGGCAAGGGGGATATAGGAAGGAGTTATTGGCAGGGGGAATATGGGAAGGAGGTATTGACAGGGGGAATATGGGTAGGAGTTATTTGCAGGGAGGATATAGGAAAGAGTTATTGGAAGGGGGAATATGGGGAGGAGTTATTGGCAGGGGGAATATGGAGAGGAGTTATTGGCAGGGAGGCTATTGGAAGGAGTTATTGGCAGGGGGAATATAGGAAGGAGTTAAGGGGGAATATGGGAAGGAGTTATTGTCAGGGAGGATATAGGAAGGAGTTATTGGCAAGGGGGATATGGGAAGGAGTTATTGGCAGGGGGAATATAGGAAGGAGTTATTGGCAAGGGGGAATATAGGAAGGAGTTATTGGCAGGGGGAACATGGGGAGGAGGTATTGACAGGGGGAATATGGGTAGGAGTTATTGGCAGGGAGGATATAGGAAAGAGTTATTGGAAGGGGGAATATGGGGAGGAGTTATTGGCAGGGGGAATATGGGGATGATTTATTGGCAGGGAGGATATAGGAAGGAGTTATTGGCAGGGGGAATATAGGAAGAAGTTATTGGCAGGGGGAATATAGGAAGGAGTTATTGACAGGGGGAATATGGTGAAGAGTTAATGACAGGGGGAATATGGGGAGGAGTTAGTGCCAGGTGGCATATGGGGAGGAGTTATTGACAGGGGGAATAAGGAAGGTGTTATTGGCAGGGAGGAATATAGGAAGGAGTTATTGGCAGGGGGATATAGGAAGGAGTTATTGGCAGGGGGAATATGGGTAGGAGTTATTGTCAGGGGGAATATAGGAAGGAGTTATTGGCAGGGGGAATATGGGGAGGAGTTATTGTCAGGGGGAATATGGGGAGGAGTTATTGACAGGGGGAATATGGGTAGGAGTTATTGGCAGGGAGGATATAGGAAGGAGTTATTGGCAGGGGGAATATGGGTAGGAGTTATTGGTAGAGGGAATGTGGGGAGGAGTTATTGGCAGGGGGAATGTGGGAAGGAGTTATTGGCAAGGGGAATGTGGGAAGGAATAATTGCCAGAGGGAATATGGGGAGGAATCTACTGCTGCCATTTCATACCATATTTGGTGTATGTATAGTGTAGGTTCAACACAGCTAATGATGTACTTATAAAGAAACATGGATCTTTGAAGATAACTGAGTGAGGTGATCTACCACTGAAATTCACGTCATTCACCCCAGACATACAAAAAATCGTGAACGAGCATTCCACTCAAGGGTCAAATTGAACTATCTAGATATGATTTTATATCCATTCATAGTTGATCGTTTAACACTTTTTTCAAGTGAATGTGACTGAAAATGACAGATTATTTTGGGGAGGAATAGATTTGGAAGAACACTTCTTATATCTAGGGAGGAATGATCTAACTGAGGATGAGAATAGTTCTGGTATTATATATCAGTGAATTGATTAATCACAATAAGACATTCCACGTCTTGTATCAATACTTGCTGATACCTTTTATTCCATTAAGTTGTTTTATGATATAACAATTTTTTTCATTGAAATTGTTAGAAACTTTTTATAAGACGCTGGCCACTTCTATCAACTATATTACCAAATATCACAGTTATAAAGTTATAAATTAATATGTATAGAAACTATTTATAAGACAGTGGACACTAACCACTTCTATCAACTATATTACCAAATATCACAGTTATAAAGTTATAAATTAATATATATAGAAACTATTTATAAGACAGTGGACACTAACCACTTCTATCAACTATATTACCAAATATTACAGTTATAAAGTTATAAATTAATATATATAGAAACTATTTATAAGACAGTGGACACTAACTACTTCTATCAACTATATTACCAAATATCACAGTTATAAAGTTATGAATTAATATATATATAGAAACTATTTATAAGACAGTGGACACTAACCACTTCTATCAACTATATTACCAAATATCACAGTTATAAAGTTATAAATTAATATATATAGAAACTATTTATAAGACAGTGAACACTAACCCCTTCTATCAACTATATTACCAAATATCACAGTTATAAAGTTATAAATTAATATATATAGAAACTATTTATAAGACAGTGGACACTAACCACTTCTATCAACTATATTACCAAATATCACAGTTATAAAGTTATAAATTAATATATATAGAAACTATTTATAAGACAGTGGACGATAACCACTTCTATCAACTATATTACCAAATATCACAGTTATAAAGTTATAAATTAATATATATAGAAACTATTTATAAGACAGTGGACACTAACCACTTCTATCAACTACCAAATATCACAGTTATAAAGTTATAAATTAATATATATAGAAACTATTTATAAGACAGTGGACACTAACCCCTTCTATCAACTATATTACCAAATATCACAGTTATAAAGTTATAAATTAATATATATAGAAACTATTTATAAGACAGTGGACGCTAACAACTTCTATCAACTATATTACCAAATATCACAGTTATAAAGTTATAAATTAATACATATAGAAACTTTGAAGATAAAATGTAAATTTGTATCCCATTATCCCATATTGCTATATGTATTGTATTGTGACCCATGTATCGCTGTACGTATCATATTGTGAAATGATCGGCGATACCCAGCACTAGTTGAGAAGCACTGGATGAAAGAGAATATTAACAGGATAATACTCCTTTAAAGTCACTTTCTATAAAAATAATAGGAAAGAAATGTACATCAAGTATTAGATAGAGAGATAGGAGGAGAAAGATGTAGTGAATGTTTTTATCCTGAATTCTATTTGAATTAATTTATCTGTCAATGTTCCTCTTGACAACTAGATTAAACCTGAACATCTTCCCTTTTAAATCAATGATTTCAAAAAAACAAACTCTGAAGATTGAAATAGTTTTATAGTCAAGAATTATAAAATCTTGACCTTTCTTCTATCAGAATTCAATTGGCTATTAATGATCGAAAATTCTCACATCTTGACATTCTTGAAATGAAAATAAAATAGCCAAATGAAGCCAAATGAAGGGAAATTGAAAAAATCTCTGTCAATTTCTACTAATCAGAATTAAAAATGACTATAATTGATGGTGATTTCAAAAATGAAATATGAACAAAGACAAATTTCTTCAAATGAAATTGAAAATAAATTAGGATTTATAATTCAAATTAAGATAAAAATTTCTCTTATCACTTTTTTATATGCCCACATGAAATGGGGTGGCGTATATTGCCGTCACCCATTTTCGTCCGTCTGATCACCATTGCTCGTAAACAATTCTTGACGGATTTTGATGAAACTAGGTGTAAGTGTTTGTAATCACCCAAGGATGAACCCTTTTGAAAATCAGAAAAATTGAAAAATAATTAGTATGAGTTATTGTCCTTGTTCTTGAAAATGTGATCCATTTTAAGCTCTTAAACACTCTAGAAGGCACAATTCTTGATGGATTTTGATGAAATTTGGTGTGAGAGTTTGTAATCACCGAATGATGAACCCTGTTGAAAATAAGAAAAATCGAAAAAAATTAGTATGAGTTTTTGCCCTTGTTCTTAAAGTTATAGCCTGTAAACACTCTGAAAGGTCCAATTCTTGACAGATTGTAATCTTATTCAGTAACACCCTAAAGAGTTCAAAAGAAGTGTATAACTGCGTTTCCACTGACAATTGTGAAAGAAAGCTAGCTCTAAGCTAGCTTAGAGCTAGCTTTATTGCGGAACACGTTGCGTTTACACTGAGTTTTTCTCGTTCCCGAACGACTTTGGTCTCGATCATAAAGTCGCACATTATTGACAGCACGCGATGTACAAGACTATCGTTAAATCGGAAGTACATTATTGCGCATGACCAGTTAAGGTAAACAAAGCAATAATGGCGGCCAATTCGATGTTAACTTATAAATTTTTAGTTAAAAAGAAGAGAAAATGCAATTGTTACAGTGGATGTAACTTGGACATTCGTAGATACTTGCAGCAACTTGCTATGGAAGCTGTCATTTTTAAAGTTGCGCGCGCTGCCGGAAAGACAAGTACGCCCCCTATTGCCGAACGAGAAAAAGCCGGCTTTTTGTGTTTCCACTGAGTAAACGAAAGCCGGCTTTCATTTGGCCCCCGATAAATTGCCGAACGAGAAAAGCTTCAATTGCCGAACCGTTACGGTTCCCGAACGCTAACGGTTCGGCAATTTGTCAGTGGAAACACAAAAAAGCCGGCTTAGAGCCAGCTTTTTATGTCAGTGGAAACACAGTTTATGACTGAAGGTTGAATATTTCATACTGGTGATTGTTATTGTACTGCCAAATATTTTTAATCAAAATCAAAGTTGCCAGTGGGTGGATATTACCTTGCCTGGCAAGCCTTCTAATATCTTAAGTGTAGAAATTGGTCTCTGAGTGTCAGTGAAAAGTAATACTATTCAGGAAATGTTTAGGATGGGCAATCAGTGGTGTTTATATAGACTGTAGAAGCCAGATTTAAATTTTGATATTTTACTGGGAAGTTGGAATTTGGCATTTTAAATTAAGAGTCCCATTGCAGTGATTCTGATTGTTTGCCTTCTAGTACATGTAAATAAGTGTTAAATAAGTGTTTAATGAGATTGTTTTAAATATTGGGTCCATGAAAGATGGATGAATACTGAAACTTATTATATACTTGATGTATAAACACCTAAACTTATAGTGTAATTTATGAACATATAGAAACAACGATTGCTTGTACAGTGTTTAACAGAAATACTTTGAATTCTTCCTGATAAAAAGGAAGGATAAACACCTATACTTATAGTGTAATTTATGAACATATAGAAGCAATGCTGTTGTTTTCATTGTTAATGAATATTTTGAATGTTTCCTGATATGATGGAAGGATAAACACCTAAACTTATAATATACTTATGCATGGTGTATGAACTAATAATAGCAATGTTGTAGGGAGTGCTTTTACAGTCTTAAATAGAAATACTTTGAATTCTTCTAATATGCAAAAATAAACTTTAAAGATGGGTTTCCTTGTTTTTTAGTGTCAAATTAAGCAAACTATTTGATAAATTGGTGTTTTTAATGTATTATCGTGTACATTATCTTATTGTATATAATTAACAGTTTTAACCAATCACAAATGTCCATGTAAGTACAGTCTGGATAAACAAAAATGACTTTTTGACCTTTCTTGATTGGTCACTCATTGGAATTGGAATGTGAGACAGACTGGTATTTTTCCAAGTCATTAGAACACCTCAACTTTCTATTAATATAAGTATTAGCATTTTTATTTTCATAAATGATAATAAGGGAACCCTTCTTTAAGTGTACTTTATGAATGTATAGTAGTCATCATTGGTAAAGTATCACTGAAGTTTGATTTTCTGTTTTATATATCAGTTGTAATACCAGTACTCTATTGTAAAAGTTGTCAGTGATACAGTTTAGGTTGTCAGTCAGTGTTCAGAACGATTCACAACTTCAACTGTGAACATCATACATAATACTTACAGGAAATTAAATCTATTCCAGCTTGACAAAATATATGTAATATTACTCAGTTTGGAATATACTGTTCAAGTTTATGGCAGTTTTTTAAGATTTTCTAAAATATCACAAAGACTGGATATTTTGCCTGTACAAAATCTATAAAGGCTTAATCTGCAGAATCGTAGGTTTGAATTTGGATTCATGTTACTGATAGTTCCAGTGATTTGTGTGGTAAAATATCATAGAAACAGTAATCTTACTGAGGACTACTCACAATTTGTTTGTGGTGATAAATATATAACTTATTTGTCTTGGTAAAATCTGGATAGTTAGTTTATATATTGAATTTTATCAAAAGGTAAGTGATCTCATTTTCAAAGAATTTATTAGACCATCCTTACATGTGTTATTTTATCAACACCTTTCCTTGTATATAGTACAATTAGCATGCAGTTACCATAGAATATGTGATAACATGCCTGGTGTATTTTGTTATAGAAGCACTGGCCTAGGCCACAAGTAGAGACTATGAATTTCAGCATTGGAATACATCAATTTGATAGAAAATTATCTACTTCTGGAGAGAGATTTACAAGATCAAAATAATAAATTGAACAGAGGAATACAAATAATAAATGCATATAGCGGTGATCTATCCAGAAGCAGATAGATACTCTCTTATAGAAGCACTGGCCTAGGTCACAAGTAAAGACTATGGATTTCAGTATTAGAATACATCAATTTTATAGGACATTACCTAATAAATGCAAAGCGATGGCTTTAGGGAGTTAGCCTGGTGCAAGGCTGAGAATTTAGGAAGTTAGAATTTGATTCTATTTGACAGTCACATTTGATTTGAACTGAGTTGTTAATTGTGTTTTTGGAAGAATTAATATAAAAAATGACATGGATGAACCTTAGAATAAACCGGAGTGAATTGTTATCAAAAAGTGAAAAAAGTCCCCAAAAAATTATGAAATTAATTAATGCAAGAGCCGCCCTGGTGATTTTTAGATGAAAACTTGACAAAGCCAAGTACCAGCATAATCTAAAGGGCTAAAGACAATTTCAAATTTTAAACTGAATAGAAATTCGAAAAGTTCATACAAACAGACCTTGAGATATCACATATATATTGGAGTCATTGGTTGTTAGTATAGCAGTATATTATGTATCAGTAATAACCATCAACATTAATATTGGTACCATGGGGAAACCTTTGATCTTTCTTTCTCTTTGATGTTTTCTTACAATCCACATAAATATACTTCATATACTTTAAAACTTCTTTTCTTTAATGGGTTTAATTGGTTACACAGTCATAGTGGTTCATTCTAATATGTTTTTTTCATTTTAAGTCAGTATTTCTGGACTAGATTTTTAGGAACATTTCAAGGTTATTGGTGAATGTTAATAATATATGTGTCCCCTCTTGCTCCCCAAATAATACAAACACAAACTGGGGGATATTTTCATTTAATAATAACTACTTATTAAACAACTATAATTACACTAATTATAAAATTGTAAAAAGCACTATCAACATGTGATAGGGTGGAACCCCAAAATTTTACTAAAAAACACCATACACATCTTAGGCAGACCAAATAAAAAGCCTTAAATTCTAGCTACATTTCAAGGTTCTAGTTGAATGTTGATAATATTTTCAGACAGGAAATATATTGTAATACAAGGTCATAACTTCTTCAAAGAAAATGTGGCAAGTACAAGAAAAAGAAATTTTGTATAAAAAATTAAAATTACAATATAATATCTCTCTGTAAATATTTTTTTATTTGATATCTAAGGTAGAAGTGGTTGTTTGAAATCTACTGAAAATGTAGTTATGGAAGACAATATCTTAGTTATGGCCCTGTAATTATCTTAATTTTAAACATTGAATTATTTGTGATTACTTGCTCATCTTTTTCAAATATTAAAAACCAATCTGCGACTTGATTTGTCCACAAATATTGAAACAATGACATAGCTTTCAGAAAACTTGAAGGGTTTCTATTTAGTAAGTGATTGTGATCCACTCTTTTTGTTACGCTTGAGAGCTTAAAGTGAACTTTGTATCATAGCACAGCTGGTAAGCGTTCCTGCTTTTATTGGGACATGAATGTACTGAAAATTCGTGTTGTCGGAAGCTAGAATCATGCAAACCATGTTGATGAAAATTCAGCTGATGAAAACAGGCTGCAGGAAAATATGATGAAAATGATGATTTAGGAGATGTAGAAGGTATATAATATATATAGAAGTATGTTAATAATGATGATGATGATGATTTAGATGATGTAGAAGGTATATAATATATATAGAAGTATGTTAATGATGATGATGAACAAGGTATATAATATATATAGAAGTATGTTAATGATGATGATGATGATTTAGGTGATGTAGAACAAGGTATAATATATATAGAAGTATGTTAATGATGATGATGATGATGATTTAGATAATGTAGAACTAGGTATAATATATATCGAAGTATGTTAATAATGATGATGATGATGATTTAGATGATGAACTAGGTATATAATATATATTGAAGTATGTTAATGAAGATGATGATGATTTAGGTGATGTAGAACAAGGTATAATATATATAGAAGTATGTTAATAATGATGATGATGATGATTTAGATGATGAACTAGGTATATAATATATATTGAAGTATGTTAATGAAGATGATGATGATTTAGGTGATGTAGAACAAGGTATAATATATATAGAAGTATGTTAATAATGATGATGATGATGATTTAGATGATGAACAAGGTATAATATATATAGAAGTATGTTAATAATGATGATGATGATGATTTAGATGATGAACTAGGTATATAATATATATTGAAGTATGTTAATAATGATGATGATGATGATTTAGATGATGAACTAGGTATATAATATATATAGAAGTATGTTAATAATGATGATGATGATGATTTAGATGATGAACTAGGTATATAATATATATTGAAGTATGTTAATAATGATGATGATGATGATTTAGGTGATGTAGAACAAGGTATAATATATATCGAAGTATGTTAATAATGATGATGATGATGATTTAGATGATGAACTAGGTATATAATATATATTGAAGTATGTTAATGAAGATGATGATGATTTAGGTGATGTAGAACAAGGTATAATATATATAGAATTATGTTAATAATGATGATGATGATGATTTAGATGATGAACTAGGTATATAATATATATAGAAGTATGTTAATGAAGATGATGATGATTTAGGTGATGTAGAACAAGGTATATAATATAAATAGAAGTATGTTAATAATGATGATGATGATGATTTAGATAATGAACTAGGTATATAATATATATAGAAGTATGTTAATGATGATGATGATGATGATTTAGGTGATGTAGAACAAGGTATAATATATATAGAAGTATGTTAATAATGATGATGATGATGATTTAGATGATGAACTAGGTATATAATATATATTGAAGTATGTTAATGATGATGATGATGATTTAGGTGATGTAGAACAAGGTATATAATATAAATAGAAGTATGACGATGAAGATGATGATGATGATTAAGGTGATGTAGAACAAGGTATGATATATATATAAGTATGTTAATGATGATGATGAACAAGGTATAATATATATAGAAGTATGTTAATGATGATGATGAACAAGGTATAATATATATAGAAGTATGTTAATGATGATGATGAACAAGGTATAATATATATAGAAGTATGTTAATGATGATGATGAACAAGGTATAATATATATAGAAGTATGTTAATGATGATGTAGAACAAGGTATGATATATATAGAAGCATGTTAATAATGATGATGATGATGATTTAGGTGATGTAGAACAAGGTATAATATATATAGAAGTATGTTAATGATGATGATGAACAAGGTATAATATATATAGAAGTATGTTAATGATGATGATGGACAAGGTATAATATATATAGAAGTATGTTAATGATGATGATGAACAAGGTATAATATATATAGAAGTATGTTAATGATGATGATGAACTAGGTATCTAATATATATAGAAGTATGTTAATGATGATGATGATTAAGGTGATGATGAACAAGGTATAATATATATAGAACTATGTTAATGATGATGATGAACTAGGTATCTAATATATATAGAAGTATGTTAATGATGATGATGAACAAGGTATATATAGAAGTGTAATTATCTAGTATTTACATTCTTACAGTATATTATTATTTACTGTATTATTCCTGTTATCTTAATATTGTCAACAAACCATGATTTATGTAGTGTTTTTTATATTGATGGTTCAAACTGTGATAGATGTGTGTTTTGTTATTTTGTCTTTCTACTAGTTTGGTTGTTATATAGTATTTTAAATACGGGTAAAATTACAGTTCATCATGAAAGTAAACAGAGTTATATTTCCTTCTTTACTGCTTCCTATTTTCCTATTTTCCTATGAATGAGACAGCTAATGCCTTGCAGTGGACAGAAAATTACACTGAATTTTCCTATTTTCTCAGTATTGATTTGAACAAAAATGATATTTTTGATTATTAAAGGAATTATCTGATGATGAATTTTTATTTTTCAACAGAAATGATGGTTGTTTTTTTCCAGCAGAGCTTATTTTTTATTTATTTTGTCTGATTTCTGGAAATAAAAGGTAGGAAGGTCTGTAGAACAAGACAAAATTGGTCTGGAGTAAGTGCTGTTTTATTGTTAAAAAATGAGTTCATCCTTTCTTTGACATTATGTGGCATCCTTTACTGAGTGTTTATAACTTATTATCATTAATTAACTCTCTATCTCTATTCAGAATTTTGTTGAATTTATTTAATGTAAATATTATTGTCTTCTGCTCGTGATATTTTTTGAAATCTGGAAACAAGTTGCCATCTGCACTGTCAAGATTGTGAAAAGAGTTTTAAAAGGTTAGTGTGTGGAAGGGATATCTCTAACGATTGTCAAGAATTCAGACTGGAACATTTTAAAATGTAAGTTGAGTATTTTATTGATTCTTTTTATGAAGAGTTCTTTTAAATGAAATGTCAGATGTCTGAGGGTATGTTTTTATGGACTTACCTTACATATTATAAAATAATTTAATTTGATGTTTAAATTTCTAAGATACAAAAACAAATTAGTATATTGCATAGTCAAATAGAAATACCACTGTTAAAATAGTGCTCAACACATCAATTGTAGAGTGATATAGAAATACCACTGTTAAAATAGTGTTCAATACATCAATTGTAGAGTGATATAGAAATACCACTGTTAAAATAGTGCTCAATACATCAATTGTAGAGTGATATAGAAATATCACTGTTAAAATAGTGCTCAAAAATCAATTGTAGAGCGTTATAGAAATACCACTGTTAAAATAGTGCTCAATACATCAATTGTAGAGTGATATAGAAATACCACTGTTAAAATAGTGCTCAATACATCAATTGTAGAGCGTTATAGAAATACCACTGTTAAAATAGTGCTCAATACATCAATTGTAGAGCATTATAGAAATACCACTGTTAAAATAGTGATCAATACATCAATTGTAGAGTGATATAGAAATACCACTGTTAAAATAGTGCTCAATACATCAATTGTAGAGTGATATAGAAATACCACTGTTAAAATAGTGCTCAATACATCAATTGTAGAGCGATATATAAATAACACTGTTAAAATAGTGCTCAATACATCAATTGTAGAGTGATATAGAAATACCACTGTTAAAATAGTGGTAAAGAGATTTTCTAAAATTTTTTGGATACTACTAAGATCAATTTGATGACCTCAATTATTGCGAAGAGCCTTGTGTGATAAAGCATATTTTTGACTTAGTGACATCATCAAACACTTTGTTTTAGTGGAATTGCAGGAACCATAGATTTCTGACTGAAAATTGGAATGGTGCAAAATGATGCCATCAGTGTCTCAGATACATATACAAAATTCAGAAAAACCTTTTCACAATCCTTTTAATTTCACAAGATGCCTGAAGATTCCACTCAGCTACTATTCAGCCCTGTCTTATACAAACACATCACATGTCAAATCAACATGACAGCTGTAATTTCCTAGTCATATTGTCTTCATATTAAATTAGTAAGCAGTATGATTATATTCTGACCCTTGGCAAATTCTAATCTGAATTATTCTCATATTCAATTCAGTTATCGTGACTGATTTACAGAAAATGTGCAATATTAAGAGGAATATTGAGATTTTAATATCCTGTATGTTTTCTGTGTATAGTTATCATTACTTGCTGCACGGAATCATTTCATGTGATTCATACACTGAATCTTTCTCTAAATTATTCTATAATAATAAAGTTCCGAGTGCTATGAAGGTCTCAACCCTCCAATTCTATATTTATCATCAAGTTTGGTATTTTTTAATGAAAAATTGTAATTTCTGCAAACTCATAAAAGTACAATCATCCATATTTTACATTCATATGTTTCAAACTGAATATTTCTCTAAATTATGGTTGACTAAGATAGTTCAGGTGGGTTGAGAATTTTACACAGGTTTCCACCTTTCTTAAAGAATCATAGTATCAACTTAGTTGTAATTGGGGTATTTTTATACACCCACATACACCCTATATTGTCATCACCCATGTCTGTCGGTCCACAATTGCTCATTAACACTCTAGGAGGCACAATTCTTGACTGATTTTGACGAAACTTTGTTGTAATAAGGGTATTTTTAAAATGTGAAATCGCAATTTCTGCAAACTTAAAAAAAAAGTATGAAGTATTCAAATTTTACCAGCAAATCCTAGGCTACAATCTCCTGCATTGTTCTTATGTTTTATGTATAAATATATTTATACCCATTTGTAAGGCTATCTTGGTAGTGATCTTTACTAGTTCTTGTTTCTTTTTACCTCTATGATCTACTGTAATTGTGAGGAAATATTATTTATTCAGTCATCAGATCTATGTATTTTTAATCAATAATGTTTGAAACATTAGGATGTGAAACTCCATGTTCATTTGGTGTCTGTTAGTTTGGTAGAGTTTTATCAAAAATAACTTTCAAATCAACCAAATTTTGCATTTTCATTAAGTCAATGAAACATTTAGATATGAAACTCTGTTTCATTTCAATTTGATGGTCGTTCAGCAGTTTTATTCAGATAAATTTCTTGTTCAGGTTCACAAGACTTGAGCACTATCTTTAACTCAATAAATTTTGATACATTAGGACGAGGAAAAATGTAACGAGACTTGCACTTTCACAAACTCAATAAAAGAGACTGGATGTAAAACTCTATTTGAATGAATTTGGTGTCTGTTTGAGCAGAAATGACTTGTCTAATGTCACAAGACCTGCACTTAAATTAACTCAATAAGGAAGGAAAATTGACTGGATGTAAAATTCTATTCCATTTTTTGAACTCATTGTCTGTACAGTAAGGTATGGATTTCAATAGAATTAAATGTGACAGACTGACATAGTATTTATTCTAGTAGAATAAGCAGATCTAATTACTGGAGCAAAGTAAATAGTATGAAATAGAGAGTTTTAGATAGCTTAATCTATTGGGTTTTTATTATCAGATTATCCATGTTTTATTGTTAGATCTAAAGCTCTCTAGGGACACACTGGCTTCCAACTGTTAGTTGTTAGTTTAATGGCTGAGAAACATGGTTCTGAAATGGATACAGTTTTCTAATTTAGCAGGCCATGCTCATAATTCCAAAACACCACAATACTTGAAGTTTTATAAGCTATGTGAACTCTTCTCTCTTTAGAGACATGCTGGTAAAGTATAACAAATACTCAGACACAAGACAATATTATGGAATGTAACACACTTCTTTAATAAGGTTAGGCACATAACATTTCAACACAGTATACAGGATCTGAACCACAAAATGAAATGTGAAATACAAAATAACAATTTGGCAATACCTTGGTAGCATCTTAGAACTATGGTGATGGATTAGCATAAGCCTGGACCTATTAATGCTCTGTAAAATTATATGTATAGTAGAAATAAAATACTGTTTAAATCGCAATCAGCTTAGAACTATGTTATCTATAGGGTAAACAGAGTCTAGAGACACTTGCTACAGGACTTCTGTTAAACAAGCTATGTTCAATAATATTTTCAGAATTAGATTGGATAGCTTCTATTCTACTTAGATATCAAATTCAGTTTCACTTTAATGTGTCGCTTGTTTGTCATATAAGTTACAGAACAGAAGTCCATTTCATTTCATTTCATTTGTAGGATGTCAAACTCCATTTAAAAGCTCACAAGCACAGTTATAAAAAGCACACAAACAGACAGTATTAAAAGCACACAAGCAGACAGAATTAAAAAGCACACAAGCACCCAGTATTAAAAAGCAATAAAGTACACAGTATTAAAAAGCATGCACACAGTATTAAAAAGTATGCACACAGTATTAAAAAGCATGCACACAGTATTAAAAAGTATGCACACAGTATTAAAAAGTATGCACACAGTATTAAAAAGCATGCACACAGTATTAAAAAGTATGCACACAGTATTAAAAAGTATGCACACAGTATTAAAAAGTATGCACACAGTATTAAAAAGCATGCACACAGTATTAAAAAGCAAGCACACAGTATTAAAAAGTATGCACACAGTATTAAAAAGTATGCACACAGTATTAAAAAGTATGCGCACAGTATTAAAAAGTATGCACACAGTATTAAAAAGTATGCACACAGTATTAAAAAGCATGCACACAGTATTAAAAAGCAAGCACACAGTATTAAAAAGCACACGGTATTAAAAAGCACATGATATTAAAAAGCAAAAAAGCACATGGTAATAAAGAGCAATAAAGCACAAGTATTAAAAAGCAAGCACACAGTATAAAAAAGCACACAGTATTAAAAAGCAAGCACACAGTATTAAAAAGCACACAGTATTAAAAAGTAAGCATTATAAAGTAATGCTATATCATTTTGTGAGCCAAGTTCAGAGCAGTAGGATTGTAACTCAATTTAATTGGTTTTAACAAACTTTTGAACAATAAGATATACAACTCCCTTCAATGCCCTGAATGCCAGTAAACATGATATTTTACCATTCTAAAACTCATTTCCTTCAAGAGATGCTTTAAAATTTTCTTAGTTTCTCATTCATTTGTAAACTGAGAAATAATTTCCTTTAGAATGTGTAATAAATACATTTCATTCTATAATTGCACTCTCCAGTCCAAGTAGAAATTGATCTAAAACTCTTGAAGACTTGTTGAAAACGTGATAACATTCATGTGTTAGATTGTTTAGAAATAAATGTGTAATGTTTTGTAGAATATCAAGTTTGAAGCATATTTAGCTCAATTCGATTTTTTATTAAATTTAACCCAAAGTTCTTAGTTTTTGCTAGCAACTATTTTATAGCTTCTATAAGTTTACCTCCTTACCTAGCGACCATTTTTATCAACAACCAAACCAACAACACAGAATCATCCAATATGAACCAATCCAACTACAAACTACAACAACTACCAACAACTACCTAGTTTAACCATTGAATTTGATGTTTATTTTAAAAAAAAAAAAAATCTTTTTTAGCTCTCTTTGACTGAATGTTTGAATATTTTAAGACTAAATTTTCAAAAATGGTAAGGGACATATTTCTCTATATGATGGTATACAGTTCTAAGTATTTAAGGTTTGAAGCAATAAAAAATTGATTGAAAAATTAAACATCCACTTTAAGATTATTTAATAGATATATCATCTGATTGGTCAATCCAAAAAGTAAATTTAAAATTTTGTCTTATCATGCAATCATATTGCTGTGTATTTCTCAAAAGTTATTATGTACTAGGCCCCTGACCTTTAAGTTAAAAGAAATGAAGGTTTCATCGAGACTGTGTGATTAGGTTTGACAACATTTGAAAGATGTGAGAATCTACTTGTTCTGTCATTTCACTGTATTTATTATAATATGATTTCTATGACAAGATCAAACACCTTTCTCTTGAAAACTGTGGAAAACATTGACAAGTTATTGAAATCAATTGTACAGTGACAGCTATGAAATGAGACAAGACAATTTTATTAAAATTTAGCTTTGACTCTACGACATTTTTGTAACATAATAAACGTCAGAATTTGTTACATTTTTATTTTTTTTTCTCTTTTGATACTTTCTGCTTAAAATAGCAACTAGTGGCAGAATTATTTTTATTTTGATATTTCTTTTCTTCAGTTGTCTAGAATTTTGTCAGTGGTCCAAACTGGAATAAAACAGTAAAATATTTATTTGGCTGAAAAAGATGCAGAAATGTAAAACATTTCATTTCCTGTAAAAAAGACCTATTGTAAGATGTTTAAAGATATGTTCCCTTATTTTCATTTATAAAAACGAAAATACTAATATTTATATGAATAGAAAGTAGAGGTGTTCTAATGACTTGGAAAAATACCAGTTTGTCTCACATGTCCAATGTAATTAATTCATAATTAGCTAAATTAGAAGAGAATTACCAGCAGAATTCCAATGAGTGACCGATCAAGAAAAGTCAAAAAGTATTTTTTGTTTATACAGACTGTACATACATGGACATTTATGATTGGTTAAAATTCTTAGTTATATGCAATAAGAACTGAATGATATGATTAAGAATACATAAGAAATACATAGTTGGCTTAATTTGACATTTTTAAGTTTGTTTGATTTCATTAGTCAACAAGGTTTAAAACAGTAGGATGTAAACCTCCATTTCATTTTTTCAATTTTATTGGATTGAGAAATAAAGATTGGATTAAAAAGGAGTGATATCGGATGTTCTGAGAAACAAAATGCCTTTCTGCACAAACTCAAAATGTCATGTTTTCTTTTTGTCATTTTACTGTTTGCCACCAAGCATCACTTGGACTAAAACAGCTCATTCCCAAATGTCAGGTTTTTCTTTAAAAAAAAAACGCTTATGCTCTCACCCACCCAATATCACTTGGACTTGGATCTGATTGGAAAATTTTCTAAAAACACCTCAAGATTATTTTACTCATTCCAAAATGTCAGGTTTTCTTTTTAAAAAAAGTGATTAGGCCCACACTCTATCTACTCTACCAATTATAGTTAAATTGAGACAAGTTTCCTGGAGCCTTGTTTTTGTCTCTCTTACAAAAGTGTAATCAAAGATGTGAGAAAGGTAATGAGATCTTATTTCCTGTCACAGCAAGCTAGACAATCATTGGTGGATAATTTCCGAGTGAGTGTGACAACCTCGACCTAATGTCAGACATAACAGGAAGTGACTGTCACTAAGCAGACATCTTGGTTGTCATGTTTACTAGTATTTGATACTAGTCATTAGTAACAATTATTAAATTGGTAAACTACAAGGAAAGAGACAAAATTTTTCTTCAAAATTTTTTGTTCAAATTACAAGGGGAAATGTTTCTGAATTAAGAAACAAAGTACTACCAACAATCCGAAGTCCAAACTGTAACTCAAAATCCAAAACAACATATTGGCGACAGCTTATGAACTTTTCACATGAGGAAGTATATCAATCATAAATGACGTATACCTACAATAAAATATCTATAGGTTATTCACGAAATCCTAATCACTATTACTGAGTATAATCTTGTATTACATAATGGTTTCTAGATTAAAGAGCCAGGTTGTCTTGACAATTAAAACATTTGCTTGCTATCCTAGGGGTTGAGTAATTGATCCAAAATGTGGTCCAGACAGTTCCTTTGAGATTTCATCATGGATCTATCTCTCATTACAGCTAGTCAAGGGGCAAACAATGAAAAGCATCTTGTAATTTAGATTGAACAATTAACTGAAGCCCAGTGTGTTATAGCTACAGGGTGTGCATCTAAAAGACCACTTAAAAGATCCATGACAGCACCAAAAGTTCTTAGTTTCATTCCAGCATACATGTATCTTCCAGAAAGTGATTAGAATTTAGTTTTATATGTACACAATGATGAATAAATCCCACAGAGACAATTTGATATCCAGTTTAGAATGCGAACCCTCAAGAGACTATTTACGGAATTGATCATTTGACCTTGAACGCCAACCAAGGTCGTGCATTCACTTGACATGATAAATGCTTGGCCTCGGTAAGTGAAGAATATTCCCTCCCTAGAGGGGGGTAGAAATTAATCTGATTGCTAAATCATCGTGATAAATTGTTTGAAAGTAAAAAAGGTGAGATTGAATCTATCCTGTGAAAAGCTATCGAGTTGAAAATCAGAACTTGGAAAAAAAAAAGACGCCATTTATCAAAAAAAAAATGGTACAAGCAGAAGAATTCCATTAACAACTATCTTGCCCAAAACATGAAAAGATTTAGACCATAATATAGCACTGTGGTAAAAAGTATCATTGTTATAGCTCTTCTTTTTTATGTTCCAAAATCCAAGAAGAACATTCTCATGATTTATCATAAAATTAAAGCAAAACAATTCCATTAACAAGTATCTAGTCTAAAGTATAAGCATTATCACAAGATGATCTGCAAGGCTGTAGCTCAATCCCAGTTGAAATTAAGGGGCAGGGAGTTCTGGATGCATTCAAAATCCATAATTTACAAAAAGAATTAAAACATTGGTTGCTGATTTGAAAGTCAGGAATTTGCCTCATTTTCTTCCGTTACCTTGACAACTAAAAATATAAATCCTGTGAGTAACGTACCATGAAAAGAATTAGTGACCAAAAAGGTGGTTAAGTTTGGTGCAATAAAACTATTTCTCCTTCGAAAAGGGAAATTGTGTTAGACCTGTAAAGAATTGTTCAAGTCTGACTAATAGTTTTATAATTTTAGCGGAAACCATTGAGATATTGCCTAGCCTCTGCCAGTTTTAAACCAGTCATTATCTTTATTTCATTAATTTGGTATTCCTCCATAACAACTCTCTACTTTCGCTTTCAGTCAATCGGTAATTTTCCGTCTCAACGATTCGGCTAAAGGAGAATCTTTCATTTACATTTCTCTGATTCAATGAAACCTGATGAAAATCAATCGTCTTATTTAATGTGATTTTATTTATTCTGTGGGAAATCTCGCTTGATTGAAATAGCTCTCGTATCGACAGGGGACATAATTCTTTCTTAAAGAGGCATTTGTGATTTATTTCAATGTTCTTTCATCCCGCTGTTAAATTCTGTTGGTTTTTGCCTATTTTGATGGTTATAGATTGAATAAAACTCTGATAATACCATACACAATTTATCATTATATTTTAAGTACTTGCAGCCCAACGTGAAATAAATTCTATGAATTGAGAGAAATTCTGCAGTTTTGACATATAAATTTAAGTCCTGTATATGGTATGAATAATGGATGTATAATCTAATAAAAATTCAGACCAAATTTACCTCATTCTATATTTTTCTATTTGTTTCTATTATCACTATTTTCAAGAATAATTTGAGGTAATCTTGATCTATCTTGATTAGATTAATAGATGAACCAATAAACATAACCTAGGTATTGTGTTGGCAATTTAACAAAAAGTTGTAGTTGAGTTGATGGCCTCAATTGAAGAGTGTCACAAGTCGTTTCAGAAGAGGCAAGCAGGGTCTGATTAACTATGATTTTTGGTCAGTTTTGTTATCACTGTGTCGACCACAAGAAGATGAAGTTTGACCTAATTTTTGACAATGAATGAATAACTAAAGAACAAAACATTTCAGACATACTAATTTTTCTCTTCAAAAATTGAGACTTTGCCTTCTAGACTATTATTGATACAAGCAATGGTCTCGTCTGTGACAGAAATAACCAACCCTCTTTAGTTGTCATA